TATATACATATAATTCCAGTTTTATTTATGTTTCCCTTTGACCCAATGTCTATTCTTATACCGTTTTATGAATTTTGCTCCCTCCATAGCTTGTTCAGGTGCCATATACCAGAACATTTTTCAGATTTGAATGTAAAATACTGAATGTTTATTATTCGCATACATTTACTAATTATCATTCATTCCTTCCAGTGCTACCGAAGAATCTTAGAGCTAGACCCCGAAAATATACAAGGTCTTCATAACCTCTGCGTGGTTCACGTAGAAAGAGGCAAACTCTTGGAAGCCCAATCCTGCTTACTGGAAGCCCACAAACTAGCTCCCGCAGAAGACTATGTCTTAAAACATCTCCATATCGTCCAAAACCGCATCTCAAAAATATCTCTGGACTCCAGGGATCACACCGAGTCAGACGCAAGTCCAAAGGAGAAAAGCAAAGTCGTTTCTAATAAGAGCATCGATGAAACCGACAAGGAGACAAAACCGGTAGTGTCTGGTGACTCAGAAGAGCAGAGATATAGCAGCAGAGTAGTGAATACTGAACCGATGTTCGTGAAGAACGTAGACAGTATCGATTACGTGGATTACTCGGTGAATGAAGCGCCATTTGTGGAAAGTTCCGACTCCAATAGAAGCGAATGGGGAGATATCGGCACCGACAGGGATGACCCGTCTTCTGGCATGTCCTAAAAACCCTCGTTGAATCTTAAAAATTCGTTGTATAAAAATCTCGATTGAGAAATTTTTATACCAGCCACTAGGTGTAGTGTTCATTCTGTGATACTCAGAATAATCGTTTTAATTTATATTTTTATCCTTATTCTGAATAAGTCTACTTTAACTTTTATATTAACAGCATGCAAAAACTACACTAACGTGACTTAAGGTTCACAATCATTTTAATTTTTTATGTAAAAATAGTGTCTATATTATGAAATGAGAAGAGATTCTGTATTTTTGTGACTATCACGAAAACAGGAGAAAGATGATCAAATCAAGAATCTGGAATCGGAATCTACTGACTTTGTGAAGTCATTTTATGAATTGATGGTCCACAGATTGATCAGCTGTCTCCTCGGAATATTATTTTTTGTTGAATTCGTTTGTGATCAATTTGTGATTAAATAGGCTATTTTTGTGAAAATATTTCGAGGCTTCATTTGAATTTAGGTTCAATTTTTATATTTTGAACATTTTAGCATACCTGTGCTTACTATACGTTTTGAGTATACTGTAGAGAAGGAGTACCTATGTTGAACTGAGTCAACAGCATTTTTTGTAGCGAATATTTACTTATGAAGCTTGGCATTCGCGATTCTTCATACGGAAATGGTGATGACGAATCAATGAAGTTTTGGTAATTACTGAAAAAAAAATTCAATGTTTTTTGTCTCATGTGTGACATTCACTGAAATAATTTTTCTACCCTCCAATATCAGGAAGGATATGTGATTAACACACTGACAGTATTCACGAAATACTCTATTCAGTTGAATTAAAAAAGTATTATTTTCAATTGTGATTAGGTTTTCGGGAAAAAATTTTTTGATTTTTGACTTCCTCATCAACAAACAAATATTTCGTGAAACTTTCAAAAAAAAGGACACTACAATGAAATGTGTTTTAAGATGTAAAGATCATGAACAAAAGTGTTCCACATTCTCTGTTTGATAACAGAGGAGTTGAAAGTCAGAAAAATTTTATTCGCATTATTGACTCTTCATCACCAAAGTTTTAAGCGTGTTTGATAATTTCATAACTATTTTCATTTCTGAAACACCAATTCTTTTCAATTCATTCTAAAGTACAGCGCTTGAGATGTATTATAATGAGTGTTTTGATGTAAGGCTTCTTAGCCTCTAGTTTAGATACGATCCACGTGGCCAAATTATATTATAGCTCTCCTTAGCATTTATGCGATTTTTTCAAGACTTACTTTCTGCTATCGTGGATTTTGATTTATTTTGTATTATGTAAAGGTGCCTTGAAAAACTTTAATTAAGGCAAATGATTTTGTAATATAGAATATAAATATTTTTCTATGTTGTCAAACTGTTCATAGTTATAAAAAATGTGAATCTAATGTGAGAGGTATATTTATCCTATGACTGAGTTTTGTGTTTTCCTTTCTAAATTTTCTAAAGTTGTTACCCCAAAAATATACACTTTTTTTAATAAAAACAGTTGTGGTATACCAAAACGGTTGTTTTATTTTCTATCAAGTTTTCAGTAAATTTCCTCTGAAACACGTTGATTTCGTCAGACTTCATTGTCTATGTGTTGATATATTTCGAAAAAATCCTTTCACTTTGCCTTCAATTCATTTGAAAGTTGAGGAGTTGTCATACGAGTGATATGAATATTGCCATCATTACTTCTTTGTTATAATACCCAGACTTCGTTTTGAATATATGTGTTTCAGCTAGAAATGAGGCACTAAACAGAAATCTAACACAATATTGTATAATGTGGATACACGCAAAATGAAATAAACATAATGCTTCTCAAGGAACACATTCATATAATATTTCTTTGAAAGTAGTTGACAATGTTTCTTGAAGCATTTCATTAGTTCGGACTTCCATTGTCTGATATGATATAAATTGATTTGAAATACCTAAAAAAATCTGGAATGATTGCTGGAATAATTTTTAGAAAAAACGAATGACATGTTGTTTTGAATGCTGATATGCAAATAATGACAACTTATCAAGAAGATTCTAGAAGATGTTGAAACAGTACAGACATTTTCCGAAGCTCCAACTGATGTTTTGGTACCTCTGAATTGTTGTATTCGTTTGATATCATAGAATGATGATTTATAGAAATGTAGAGCAAAAATATGAACGTGAAAACTGCCCAGATATAGAATAAATTGTAAATGAAAGTTTCATATTTTCATCTATTCCCGAGTTTTTTTGAGAATAGTATAGTGATATAGTGGTGTGGTAAAAACTCTCAAGTATCAGTCAATCAATATATACGAAAATTGATATTTCAACGAAAAAATACAATGATTTGTTGTCAGTTTCGAAATAAGCATCATTAATTTAATACTTAAGGGTAAAATAAGGTTTATGCAATTAGCAGAAATCATCAATAACTTCTATATGCCTTCCACATGCATTGGCTCTATTTTAATTAATGAAATTAATTTTTCATCATCTAACGTAGCATCAAACTGCTACGTTAGAAATATTCGTATATTGAAAGAAACGGTTGTCAAACAAATCCATGGTAATATACCTTCAATAAATCTATAGAAAGAATTTTTTTCTTGTTCTCAAAACTGAATAATAAAAGTTATTCAGATCAAACTCAGTTCTGTCGATTTTTTCAACGTGAATATTTTTTGAAGTCGAATTCTTCACAAATGATCAGTGTATTTATGGACTGTATTTATATTACTGGAGTTTTTTTCCAACACCAAACCTTTATTTTAACACCTCGACACGTTTTTCGATCACCTAGTGATTATCTTCAAGAGGAAGTTTGATCTTTCTCTTGAAGATGATCACTTGGTGATCGGAACACGTGTCGAGTTGGTGAAATAATGGTTTGGCGTTGGAAAAATAAAACTCCAGTAATATTCATTACTACATCAAAGGTTCCAAACAATGCATAATTAACAAGTGTATTCGTAAGAGGAATAAGTCAACAATGAAAGCTATCATTTCATTATGCACGGTATTATGAAAGCAATCGATAAAAACCTATATCCAAGTATCGTGCAAAACTATTTTTATAACAGATTAGAATTTTTATAGTGGCATACCATTACAATCGATGGCCTCCTACTGAAACGAAAAATATCAAGAGCTTGTTTCAACTTGAGCTGAATGGTCATTCATTTCTATGATAACGATTGAAGTACTAGATGAAGCCAGAACCCTACGACATAGCATTCTTAATCTAATATCAAACAGATCTGTTCAGACCCTCTATAAGGCCCATCAGTTGTGTTAGATTGAACCACAATGCATTGTTAAACCTAACTGTCTTTGAAAGATAACCTTAAATATATTGAGGTGATCACATCTTCCCTTATGTAAACGACATCTATGGGATCGACAGGAGACTCACTTCACGAATATCAAAGATAAAAGAGGTTCTTCTAGGCCATCACATTCAAAGCCAAGTTTCGACGTCGACAGCTGACACACATTATATTTCGTCTTCCACTGCAAGCCAACTAAACTAAACCATTCGGAAAATGAAAACTCAGAATCTAACACCACCGTGGAAAAGGCTTCTGTCGATACTATAGTTTTCCTGACGAATAATGTCATCGCCTCTACCATCTCAGCCTCACAATGCTGGACAGTCCAGCAATTCATTTGTGGTTTAGTCTGGTACCACTAATAAGACCTATGACGGGGCGAAACAGCAATGTCTCGTGTAGAATCACTAATACTGTGTCTCTGGGTTTTGGTTTCATCTAGTTGCTTTGCAGTGATAGCTACAGTGGAAGACAGAAGAGGAACCTCGTTCGGCGGTCGATGTCGAAGCTTCGCTTCGCAACTAACCACTTTAAGAGCTTTGTTTACTTTTCATAGTCGATCTCATAAATGATGTTTCCTTAAGAGGGAGGACACTTCCTTTTCTCAATTGGAGTATCATGAAGATACATTCTGTTGTCTATATTTTAAAGGCAATTCATTTATCTTCCATGCAAAGGAACAATAATCTGAAACAAGTGACTTGGCACTCTTGAATCAGAGATAGCATCAGAGTATTGAACTCAAGAACATTCAAATAAATTGAATACGGTTGTGCATCAAAATAATTACCTGATAGAATTTCACATTCAGAGAGAAAACATTCAAATCACAATACATGGTCGTTCAGACTTCAGTAAGAACACTCGAAAATAATAACACTAGCCTCAGCTTTTAATCTTCATTGTTTAATGTATTTTGAAAGAAATGAAAATGTTATCTTGTCAAATTTAACATATCTTTTGATCACAGCAACCAGTCACACTGCTCTGAAATCATTGTAATGTTTTGAAATTATTGTTGAAATGTAAACGAATACGATGAAAAATGAAACCAGCAAGGAGCTTACAACTTTCTACTTCTCTCATTTCTAAATAAATTGTTTGTATTGTTATTTCATTATTTGAATAACTTTGTAATGGCAGGATTTACATGCAGCCTATGAATTTCTTTGTCAATTTCAAATATAGTAACACATAACAGGGACTAATAAATCATTCATAAAAGTTAACTGCTTGAATTAGAAGGGATTTTTTTAACGAGAGATTAATTGTTGAGTTAGAAAGGTTTTGGCCTTATACTTCTTCGTTCAAAAAAATATGGGAATCGTTTTTCTTCCAGTTTTGTCTAGAAGTAACTTTTTTTCATAATCTACACATTTTTGTATAGAGTTAATGTTTTGAAAATGGCTGCTTTTTCCCTTTCTTTAAAAGATTTCACAAAACGTTTCTCTCGCAAGTTAACTGCTACTTCATATATATTCGAAGTTTGTATTTGAAATACATCAAAATTGAATAACAGCAGAGCCAATAGAAATACCTCACTAAGGTTGGTGAAGGTGGTATGATTTCAACAAAACTGGAAATAAAACCACTTTCTCATTGTCTAACTATGAAATATATGTATGAAAGCTTATATAAAATACCTCAAAATTTAAATCATTGTTTATCTGTGGAATATACAAAAAAGAGGTTGGAATAAATGAACACTTTCAATTGATTGATCAACCAAAATAAAATTCACTTTCGAAAATATACCTGCGATGGAAGATAAACTTTGAATTGAAAGGGTACATTTATTTTTGGAAAAGAAAGCTTAGTCCCTGTACTTCTTCATCTTGATACAAAAAAGTGGGAATCTGCTATAGAAAGGAAGGAAGCAATCAATTTCAAAAATTATCTCTATGAAAAGTTTTGTGAAGCACGCAAAAGAAGTAACTTTCAGACGCAAACTGGAAGAAAACGCCCTATCAAAACAGCTATTCACATTGGAATACACAAAAAAATACTTTTGAAACAAATACTGAATACCGCTGAGTTCTCATTCACGATATATATAATTGTTGAAAGAATTGAAATTTCACCTACATGGAACACTGTCATCCTCACTGCTAGACAATAGGTTCGAATTATTACAGCAAGCGCCAAAAGTGATGGAGAGCGATTGGGCAGGTATATACTCTCCCAACTCAATTACTATTGGATTACGTACCTATGATTTCTTTAAATTAGGGTTGCAAATGAAACATGACTTCTTTGTAATTTACTTTTCATATTTCATTTAGTATTATAGGTAGTAGAACATTTCATTAAAATGCTGGTATTCTGTAAGGCGATGACATTTTCTCAGATACAACAAAAATCATTCAGACAATGCCAAACGCTAACAGCATTGGGGACAAGTAATGAT